TTCTTGTTACTAGTGGCGATGCCCTTGTTGCTAGTAGCGATGCCCTTGTTGCTAGTCGCTTCTTGTTTGGGTCAAAAGCCGGAACTCCAAGCCCTTGTAGGTTGACCTCCTTAGGAGTCTATTCTGTTCTTCCCGTCACGCCGAGGGTCACGCAACGTCCCCGACTGGTACGGTAGGCATTCTGCCTATCGTCCGACATGTTGTGTGGTTTCACACGAACAAAGACCCCGAATTCCTAGGCACTTGTTCCTAGTAGCTTCTTGTTACTACTAGTAAGGCACCTGTTACTACTAGCGTGGCACTTGTTACTAGTAGCTTCCGCGGCATCCAGAGAAAATTCCCAAGCCCAAAGTTTCGCAGTAGAGACTGTAGCCAAGATCTGTGCAAATCGGGAACGTTCCCGTCAATGGTTCCATTGGGAAGTGTCTTCCCCAAACTCTTGTTCCTGTACTTTTGTTCCTGTGGAGGTTGTGGACGCCAGGGATCGTTTGATCAGCGCTGCAAGTACGTGCACTTGCAACAAATTGCCTGACCGATGAGGTCAAGTCCCGAAAAGTGTTTAACGAAGTGTCAAAAGACGGGAGGACCAATCCCTTCAGAAGAGAACCGCCAGTTCAACGGAAGTGACCGACAAATCTGAGACTTTCCAGCGAACGAAAGACAGAAAAGTCAACCAAAACGTACCCCTCCGCCCAGCGACGCCTCGTAATGTCTGAATCGGCTGCCACGGAAAAGCCTCAGACAAATCGCATCCCAATCCTGGGAAACAAAGCATGAACATCTGCGGACTCTTGTTTGGCAGCTTGCAGGAGGACTTCTTGTTTGGCAGTTTGGTCGATGTGATGGGTCTTCTGTGTCAGCCAATCTGGTCGCTGACCTATGGCCTCGTTTTAAGAAGGCGCTCATCTTGATGTGAGGCCTCCAAGGCGTGGTCTCCGTGTTACAAATGATATGGGCCTCCGTGTTTCTACTTCTTGCTCCTCAATACTGCTCAGGCAGGTGTTCGAAAAGGTGTGAGGGGATCCATTCCAGGGCAAAGGGGGCCGAATGCAAAGTGTTCAAAAACTGAAGCCTGTCTGCAATGGAATGCCACCATTTTAGGTGGGACCATGAGCTGTTCGGTTTGCCAGTGCAGCAAAGTTCATTGAACTGCCGGACCAACGTTTGACAGTCCGTAAACACCTTCGTGGGTCCAGGAGATTTGTGAATCGCCACAACAACCGCCCAAAGCTCCGTAGTGTAAGAAGAGATAGCAAGGTTTTGAACCGGACCAACATAAACTTCAGTATGGTTTTGATCAACAATTAAGCCAGAAGACATCCTGCCAATAAACCAAACCGTCCGACCACCATTGGAGACCGGGGCGATCAGCATCAAAAACCTCTGTCTGAAGCAAGCTGGGATCATTCCAATCAAGCCGGTGCTGAATAACGTCACTGGGGTTCAACAATGCCAAGGCAACCAAAGTTAGCTCCAAACTCATGAGCATTCGGCCTGGGGTGGTCGGTGCTATATGACACACACTCATGAACAAGATGGGAGAGCGTCTCTTTCGTACTACCATAAAAGCGGCAGTCATTGGATGAGTCAAGAGCCGCAGCAAATAGTCGATCCCTGGTTAAAGTACACCCTACAAGTTGCGATTGGACATGACTCTCTACATAAACTCCATCGTTCTGTAGCAGCTTTGAAAGCTTCCTGAGCCCACATGTAAGATCAAAAATCAAGGAAGCCTTCCGGCTTGCGAAAGTCTTTAACGATGCTGATTGGCCGCTTCGACATAACATCGGTGCCGAGCGAGCCGCTGGAGCAGTGGTTTGAGATCCTTGGATGTCAAATCCCAAGCTAACACCAAGGGTGAGGTCCTTGCTCAGACGGAAGCCAAAGAACTCAAAATCAAGCTGGATGCGTTGCACAAGGCTTTGAGAAGGAGGGTCATTGGCAGCAACCCATTGACATTTGGACAGGCCATTGCCTGCACACCGCAAAAATCGAAGAAACTCCAACATGGAATGATAGGCTCTGGCACAAGCCGGGTCATTCCGATGGGGATCTGCTAAGAAGGCAAGGACCAATGCACGAGACCTCCAATGTGGTCGATGTCCCCAAATTGTTTGAACGATCTCAGATTGGATTTAGGAGTCTATTCTGTTCATTTGCCGTGGTCAACCAGGCCCTCCCTCGGTTTTGACCCATCGCCATATGTTCGTTCAAGCTGTAGTAGCACTTGTAATCTTGTGTATATTTTTGTGCGTTGGATGGAGTACTTGGGCCTGAACTAAAGCCTCTACATTTGGTGTTTGAATCTCGCTTTAGTAGTTTTCTACCAAGATCTACTAAGTATGCATGTCAATAGCTTTCTGCGTAAGATACATCTGAGCACAAAGGGCTGAGGCTTGAAGCCTGTTTTGCAACTCATGAAAGGGCATCCACACAGCCACTACTGCTCGAATCAAAGGAGACATCTTGATGCGAGAAGTAAAGAAGCCCTTTGCAAGCATCCGGGGCAACAAAGCAAGTCTGTACAATAGCTAAAACAGGAGAGGGATCAAAAAAAATATGAAGCATAAGAAAACTATGTTGGTGCCTAAATGCTGAACTCTCACAATCGAGGCTTTGATGGCAAAGACATCACAGAGTTCTCCTACCAGGTTTGGGATGGTGAGATTTTACTTGTTTTGTTTGCAGCGCATGCGTGTGATAAGTGTGATATCGAAAGTTAAGCCGAGCATAGCCGAGCTGTGCAGTTCAAGCCAGACACAAGCAACACTGAAAACACCTGTGCAAACCCATGCAGACAGACTCTGAACTTGTGCCAATGAAAAGGTGCTTGGTCAAAAGACATGAAAGGAGTGCTTATAGCGGACAGGATTCTTTGCACCATTTAGCACTGGAGGAAATCTATGAAATGAAGTATGGCCAGCGCTGGTTTGGCTACTGTGCTGATATGAGGCTCGTGACAGGGAACAGTTGATGGAAAGGGTTCCAAAAGCTGAGGAGTGTCTGAGGTGTGTTTTGGGAAGAGTCAGAAGGAAAGAAAGGAAAGAACTCTACAGGTTTTCAATGTTTTGAGAAAGAGAAAAGAAAGAAAAGAAACGGTCCAAGAACAGAGCATGCAGCTTCTTTCTTTGTTTCTTTTCACAGCATTCCAATTTGCAGTAGAGTAACGACGTTGGTGCTTTACGGCCCGATAGCTCCTCGAGGATCAACCTCCGCGACGGCGCCAAAGTGGAGCTGTTTGGACTGCTGAACTTCGAGGAGTGCAAGACAATCACGAGTGAGTCCAGATAGCCCAAGATGGAAGACAACAGAAGATAGTAGTAATGCCCTTGTTACTCTAGTAGCTTCTTGCTACTAATTGC